GCTAAGATTTCTTTGGTGGGAAAATATCGAAGATGAGACCCCAAAAATGGTCCAGTATCGTTTCCGTCGATTAGTTTTTGGCTTAACTTCTAGCCCTGCGATCCTCAATGGAACAATTCAACATCATTTATCATTGTATGCCTCCTCCGAGCCTGAGGTCTCGAAGCTCCTAGCTAGTTCGTTGTACGTGGATGATTTCCCAGGAGGAGCTACACATGAAGAAGCAGCTTTTGGCGTTTACGAGAAAGCTAAACGTATTATGAGCGAAGGCGGATTCAACCTGCGCAAATGGCGCACTAATTCGAAAGTTTTGAAGGAACGAATTGATAAGTTTGAGAATACGGTTGCCACGAATCAACAGAATGTTAATCAAGAAACGTCAGAACACAAATCATCGGAAGGTGAACTGTCGAAGATCAATCTATTAGCGGACACATCGCCTGAACTTAGAGCAGCTGAGAAATTGCAAGAGAAATCATCAGAAGTGAAAATTCTTGGTCTTAACTGGAATACCGAAAGGGACTGTTTCAGTTTAGATGTTGTACAACTTATAGAATATCTGAAGTCATTGCCACCTACAAAAAGATCGATATTGAAAGCGTCCGCGAAAATATTTGATCCTATCGGACTGATCAGCCCAATAACGGTGAATCTAAAGATGTGGTTCCAGGAGCTGTGTTCCAGCAAGGTTGAATGGGACGAGGCCCTTGAGAAAAAATGGTTGAAAAGGTGGACTTCCCTGGTGGGCGAAGTCAGTGCACTATCCGAGATAAGTGTTCCGCGATGTTATTTCCAAAACAATTCAGAAGGTACAGGAGAACTTCTCAGTCATGATATCCATGGATTCAGTGATGCATCAGAGAAAGCAGTAGCAGCTGTGGTGTACTTGTTGTCCAAGTATGCAAACGGAACAATCGATGTGCGTCTTATCGCGTCTAAAACAAGAGTGGCACCACTGAAAAAACAATCTATTCCTAGATTGGAACTCTTGGGAGCTTACCTGTTGGCAAAGTTGGTTTTCTCTATTCGTTCTGTTCTAGAGTCCCTTGCATTCAAATTCGATGTGTATTATTGGGTGGATTCATTCACTACTCTGTGCTGGATTAAGAACAACAAACCGTGGCGTCAGTATGTACAACATCGGGTTAACGAGATCAGACGGTTATCGGCGAAGGAGAAGTGGAGATTTTGTCCAGGAGAGTTGAACCCGGCTGACATTCCATCGCGAGGGTGTGCCGTAAAGGAACTAGTGAACAACAAATCATGGTGGAATGGCCCAGAATTTTTGAAGAAGAATCCCGAATCGTGGCCAAAGTCAGCTACGACAAATAATGAGCTGGCGGACAAGGAGTTGCTAAAACATCCACCTGTTGTTACCAGCTCACTTCCTTGTGTTTCGAAGAATGTATCTCGTGTTGCCAACTTAGAAAATATTATCGACATCGAAAGATACAGTACCAAGATTAAGTTGCTCCGAGTGACTGCAATTGTGATGAGATTCGTGAAATTACTGAAACGAAAGGCGAATGTTCCTACAAAGCATTTAACCGGGGACGAATTGAGGACGGCAGAAATTGATTGGATTAAGTCTGTGCAAGCCTGCTCTTTCAAAACGGAACAAAATGCATTAATGAAAGGCGGTACGGCTTGCTTACACCAGTTTGAACTACAGCTGATACCAATGGATTAATTTGTTGCAAAGGACGGTTGCATAACGCCGACGTTCCAGAATCTAGCAAGAACCCTATTATACTGCCGTCACGGCATAGATTTACGGAACTTTTAATTCGTGAACGACATGAAGATATCCATCATCAAGGCATTCGTGATACATTGAACTCCATTCGACAACAATACTGGATACTGAAAGGCAGAGAGGCCGTAAAACGAGTTACTAGAAGATGTGTTGTATGTAAAAGACACGAGGGGAAGTCGTTTCCCACGCCACCAATGCCCGATCTTCCCACCAATCGTGTTGATGACAGTCCACCGTTTACAAACACGGGAGTGGACTACGCTGGTCCACTCTATGTTACGTGTGATTCGAAAACTAATGTCAAATGTTACTGTTGCTTGTTTACTTGTGCATCAACGCGTGCTATCCATCTAGAACTTACTAGAGACTTGAGTGCATTATCATTTCTACAGGCGTTTAGGCGGTTCACAGCCCGTCGTGGATTACCAGCGAAGCTACAATCAGACAATGCAAAAACCTTTAAAGCGTCGTCGGTAAATATCAGGAAGATTATGCAAGCGGCCGAAGTCAAGACTGATCTGGCAAACAAGCAAGTAGTTTGGGATTTTATCGTTGAGAAAGCCCCATGGTGGGGTGGATATTGGGAGCGTTTAGTGCGAAGCGTCAAGTCATGCTTAAAGAAGTCTGTAGGACGATCTTCGTTGAACTTTGAAGAATTACGCACGTTAATGGTTGAAATCGAGTGCACCTTAAGAGAGGATGTCCACAAAAATCAAACATAAAGCGGCCACGACTGAAAAATCGATTTTGCTCAAATTTTGCCCAGATATACCTTATTATATCGGAAAATGCACCATATATTTTTTTAGGTCAAATGCTTTTTTTAACTTTGAGAAAATGCCGTTTTAACACGACCACCCTAAATCGCCATTTTTTCTGGGAAAATATGCTCTGATTTTACAGATAAATTTCACGACGACAACCGTTTCTAATCGATCTAAAACCCTAAAAATCTTGTTTTCGGTTATTCAAAGGACTGTGTACATGACTTACAGGAAATCTGAGTTACTTTTAGGAATAGAAATAATCGTAGTTTTGGAGCACACTATCTTGCTTCATTTACGATACCCTCTTAACAAAATCGATTTTCACCATGCGATAAAGCTCCAAATCGATCATGCTTCTACTAGTTGGCTCTTTAATAAACAAGCTTTCAATTGACGTAAATACTTCTTTTGGCAAATGAATACGCGATAAACGACAGCGCGTTGAAATCGTCCGTTTTTGACGTCTTGCAAGTCAAACGCTGTAAATTTATACACCGTCGAAGTAAACAATTTATTAATCAAGTATTCTAAGTATTTTACCTTTTCAGAAAAAGCATGTTCTTGAATGGGGACTTTTCGCTTTGCTAAGTTTAAAAGTGGTCCAGAAATCCCAGTATATTTGTAAAAAAAAATCAAACATCCAGTATTTTGAGACATTGTTGACGGTTGCATGATAACTTCAGATCATTATTCAACGTGATCTACGACCCGGTCGTTTGACTTTAGCGCTAACATATACAAATCGATGAGCTATTTAAGGATTATATTTGCTACTAAATTCCCCAAAAGAATTGGAACTACCACTGCTGTTTTCAGAGGTTTTGATCCATTTTGTGATGTTTACAAATACGTAAGTTAATTATTAAGCAGCTGTTAGCGTGCGTGTACAGGTGAATGAACGTTTATAATGTTTATCCATATAAGGAGTTTTTATTATTAGTTTACCAGCCCTTATATTTGAATAGTCGTTTTCTTTCAAGTTGTTTTCTTTTTTATACTCTGCAAAGTTGATTCCGAAATGTTAAGGTATTCGAAAAAACTATCGAATTTTCCCATGATATTTACAGAGAAACGTCACAGCTGTAAACCCCCTCCCCCACCCCCAAAACGAACATATGACGTTTCTTGTGGAAAAAATCGATATGTGAGGCTTCCCTAAAACTGCAAGGTTTATACTATTGAATTAAAATCCCACAGACCACAACGGTATTGATTGTTTCTTGACGATAGTAGACGCGTACGTGCATGTTGCGGAAGAGGTTATTTCGCTGGCCTCAGAGTGACAAAAGGTACCCTGGTTCTAGAGGTTTAAAATAATAAACCTCTGTTTGAAAGCAGCAATTAATTCATCGAGCCGTGCCAATCAGCTTGAATTAGGCTAGATAGTTATAAGACAAAGGCGGCGCCAGGGCCGCCCACGCAGGGAGGTGGCAAAGGGAGCAATTTTCTCCGCGACCCCAGTTCAAGGAAGACAGGCAAATACAAATTTGCAAGGCGATAAATATTTTGTCGACGGAGGGGGGGGGGTAATTGTGGTTCACCGGGGGCCCAACGTTACAATTGGCCCTGGGGCACCATATTTCACTGAACTGGTTTGGGCTGCGCCCAGTATTTCTCCGACGGGGGGAATCATCACTGCTCTCTTTTGATCTTTGTCAATTGGCATTAAAACCGCAAGAACTACCAACAAGTGACCAGGGCCGGATTAACGTCGCGCAAGGCCCGTGGCATTTACCGTATTTGACACGTGGTTAATCCGGCGTTAAACAAGCAACAAGCTTTCATTTTCTTTAAACGCGACGTGTGGGGAGACAATAATAATTTGTGATGTCGCACTGGGCCAACATATTTCAATGCTGTATTTTTGGGTACTAGTGCTTGTGAAATATAATAAGATCAATAGACATTAGTGTATCAAAATAAAGTAATTTTACTGATTATTTTAACTGTGCATCAAAGTAAACACACATTATTCTAAACTACAGTTATGTATTTGCTATATGCCTATAATTTGAGTTTGAGGTGGTAGAATATATAATAAAATAACAAATCCTTGTATGGATAAATGTTCATTTCACACGTACGCTATTAACAGCTGCTTAATAATTAACTTATGTATTCGTAAACATTTATACTCGATAGTCGATATGTAAATACTAAATGGCACATTATATGGAAGTTCTAATTTTGGGAAAATTAGTAACAAATATAAAATCACTAAACAGCTCATCGATTTGTATGTTTGCGCTATTAAAAGTAGACAATATTGAACAATGATCTGAAGTTGTCACGTAACTGACAACAATATTATATTTCAAAATACCTGTATATGATGATATTTTACAAATATCTCGGGATTTTTGGACCAATTTTAAACTAAGCAAGGTAAAAAGTCTCCATTCAAGAATATATCTTCTCCTCAAAAGGTAAAATACTTAAAATACTTGATTAAATTGTTTACTTCGACGGTATGTAAATTAACAGCGTTTGACTTGCAAGACGTCAAAAACGGACGATTTCAACGCGCTGTCGTTTATCGCGTATTCATTTGCCAAAAGAAGTATTTACGTCAATTGAAAGCTTGCTTATTAAAGAGCCAACTAGTAGAAGCATGATCGATTTGGGGCTTTATCGCATGGTGAAAATCGGTTTTGTTAAGAGGGTATCGTAAATGAAGTAAGATAGTGTGCTCCAAAACTACGATTATATCTATTCCTAAAAGTAACTCAGATTTCCTGTAAGTCATGTATACCGTCCTTTGAATAACCGAAAACAATATTTTTAGGGTTTTAGATCGATTAGAAACGGTTGTCGTCGTGAAATTTATCTGTAAAATCAGCGCATATTTTCCCAGAAAAAATGGCGATTTAGGGTGGTCGTGTTAAATCGGCATTTTCTCAAAGTTAAAAAAGCATTTGACCTAAAAAAATATATGGTGCATTTTCCGATATAATAAGGTATATCTGGGCAAAATTTGAGCAAAATCGATTTTTCAGTCGTGGCCGCGAAATGTCTCATATGTTCGATTTTTACTGACATTCACTCTTAAATAACAGGCCCATGACCTATGTGTACGCAGATGACGAAGGTCTATCTTATCCTCTTACACCGGC